TGTGTTCTCGTTTGAGCGTATATTGAAAGCCTTTATAATTCAGTACCAATGCATTACGATTTGTCGTTGTAAAATACATATCCATTCTTGTTCGCTTAAGCTTTTGAATGTTTACTTTGATGACTGTAGTCTTATTCGATTTAGTCAAATTATTATATGTATTTCGTCGAACAAATAACAACTTTTAACACATATACTAGATATTTTTCTCTTTAAGTTAGCTTAACGCTTTTGCTTTTTCTCGTGAAAACATCACGTGGAAAAGAGAGGGACCGAAATGAGAGTGGGACCAAAGTGAGAAGGACCCAAATAAGACACGTTTCAATGGGACCGATATGAGAAAGGACCGATTGGGCCCGAATCGAGATGCCCCCGACATGTACACATTACAGGTACAGCACGTTGTGGAAGCTAGCCGAACCAGATCACTCAGCCGGATGAAAATAATAATTCTATTGGACGATTCGTTAGGCAATAGGAATCGTAGAATTCGTAAAACACCATCAAGGAGGGGCACAAAAAAAATAGATTTTGGAGATGGCAATCATAGTGACAATACTCTAAAAAATGCCAAGCGTCTTACAAGACGGTTCATGTGTCTCAAGTCTGATTTATACAGTAATTAGACACATCAAGCGTCTTGTTTTAAGACGCTTGAATAAAATAGATATTGATGGGTCTTATTTATTTTAATGTAAGGAAAGTTAGTGACAGATTCGAGCTTTTCCTAGGACGATTCATCCCATCAATCGTGCCCCTTGTTGAACATAGCGTGCCNAAATGTAAGGGAGGTTAGCGACAGATTCGAGTTTTTCCTGGGGCGATTCGTCCCATCAATCGTGTCACTTCTTGAACGTAGCGTGCCAGACAGAACTCGATGAGCTCTATCTAATGCTATGTTCAAAAATTACGATAGCATGAAAGCTGAAAAAACATCTATCAAAATATGATTCATCACCATGGGACAAAGTGTACACTTTTTGTATTTCCTGAATATATTCGATATGTCGCGCGTGCCACTTTTGAAACTTATCCCATTCGATGCAGCTCGATGAGTTCTATCTAGTACAGTGTTCAAACCTACCATCTTTAAAACCCATGAGCCTAAAATATTCAACACACCTGTGAAATTCGGGAATGTTGTGATATTTCATCTACCGATTCGCCCAATAACGTGCGCCAACGCCAAAAACCAATTGAGTCGACTCAGATCGACGAGCTCTATCCATTGATGTGTCCTTTGATATACAGAACAGTACTAAAAGAACAACAACAGTCCTAAATTCAGTCATGCTACATTTATCGCAAACATTATCTTTTACAGATTCGATCCAAAACACATGCCACTGAGAAAGCCTACCCCATTCAATGAACTTCAATAGGACGTATCGATTGATGTATAATTTCATATGGTAACTTATAATAAATGAGCCTTGGGATTCGAATTATGTTGTTGCCATATAATTAAAGTAACGTTTCTTTTTGCGTTTGTGAGTGGCACGTGTTTTGGATCGAATCTGTAAAAGTTAATGTTTGCGATAAATGTAGCATGACTGAATTTAGGAATGTTGTTGCTATTTTAGTACTGTTCTGTATATCAAAGGACACATCAATCGATAGAGCTTGTCGATCTGAGTCGACTCAATTGGTTTTTGGCGTTGGCACACGTTATTGGGCGAATCGGTAGATGAAATATCACAAATTTCCCGAATTTCACAGGTGTGTTGAATATTTTAGGCTCATGGGTTTTAAAGATGGTAGGTTTGAATACTGTACTAAATAGAACTCATAGAGCTGCATCGAATGGCACAAGTTTCAAAAGTGGCACGTGTGACGAATCGAATGTATTCAGGAAATACAAAAAGTGTACATTTTGTCCCATGGTGATGAATCGTCCAAGGAAAAACTCGAATCTGTCGCTAACTGCCGTTACATTATCGTCGTGTCGTATACGGAGAAATGCGAGCATATACGGTAAAATACGGAGCAAAACAAAGAGCTATACGAGCTCAATGTACAGGAATCGTAAACGACCGCTTTCCTATCTCCGCATATGTTCGTTTACGACCGTGCTTTTTCGATCAGGGTGGTTCTGATAATTTCCATGTTTGACCATCATTATGTTCCCAGGAGAATCATTCCCACTGTAGAATCCTATCAGATTCCGACAAGGGTGAGACAGTGAATATACTGAATACTATATGTGTTTCAATAAAACCGACGAAATTTTATGGGGATCCTGGGCACGGACCTACAGTCGGATTTTAACGGAATCCAACTCTATTGAATGACATTTGCTCTCTGATGGCTCAAAATGCTTAATTGATTGTGAATAAGAAAATGATTTTTTTCCGTCGGAACCGATAATAGGTTCGTGCCCAGGAATCCTATCGGATTCTGTCGGAAAGTCGGATTCCATAGGATTCGATAAGATCCGCTGTTGGATTCATTCACATGGGCTATACTAATTCCCAATCGATTCCTGTTGTTAAGAATCCAATAGACCATTTTTTTATCATTATTTATATCCCACGTAGATTTTAATGTCAATAACAGCCGATTAATTATTATAACGAAATCTGACAGAAATTTCATATTTTATTAGTTGAGGACTACTTATAATCTGACGCCAACACTACAGGTCAGTCAGAACCCTGATGTGGTTCCACCGAATCCGACAGTAAGATATGATTGGATTACAATAAGAAGTATCCGAATATTGATCCGCAATCCGGATCGTTCAGGAATCTGTTTGTTTTATAGAAGTTCACATAAAATCCGGTCGCATCCGATTACCGAAATGATTCACCTAGAAATTCTTCTGATATGTTGTTGTCGTAATAAATTGTTTAATTGGTATTTGAGAAGCATAGAAAATAGCGAATGGAAATCCAAAAATATGAATTCTATTGCCACTAGAGAAACAGTTGAAAAGGTAGCCATGCATTCTCTTTGCCGTTTTGAAGGTGCTTCTGTATCATCCATATTCATATAAATCTAAACAGCACAAAAGATTGACTTGTGATTCCGAAAGCTCTCTCATCATAATGACAACAATTACCAGTATTGTAGTGCTCGTCTCAATTTTAAAAAGTCTATATTTTTGATCGTGTTGATCGACGAGATTGCTTTTTCTTCTTCGCATAGAAAAGCAACAACTGAAATAGTCGAGAGAAACAAAGAAATTTTCCTCTTCAGTATGAATCGCATATCGGTGTAGATCAACGACTCTTACTAGGGATACAGGACGTCAATGTTCGGTAAGTTGCGGCCACGTTTCTACCCATTTGTGTTCAGCCGCTAAAAAACTGGCGATTAACCGGTGATTTTCCACCCGCTTTTATGAGTTCGTATAATATCGATATACCTGGTGCTTTATTTTCATTCCAGTTAGATGAAAAAGTGTTGTCAATGATCTCTCATTCGTTTTTTTTTTATAAACTTTAAATAAAAGACGTACAAAGTATGATAAGCATATAAATTCACTGGATTTAACAAAAAAAACAGTAGCTCATCGCTGCATTGAAAAATACACAAAAATAAAGATACAACTAGAGATGCATAACGAATCTTGTCTTGTAGACATTTGTTTCAATGTTGCTTTTGTTTAGTATGTAATACGTATTCTATACTGAGTGTGGGCGTATGGGCGAAATAAAAAAAGGGACTCACACCGGCACGTGGTAGTTAATCATATTTCTATTAAAATAGTGTTCAACGATAAAAATGCACTGCTACTTGTGTATGTAAACGAATTGAATTAGATAACAAAATTAATACGGGTGTCTAGTTTCTAATCAAATTTCATTGCTATTCTCGATGCAATGCAGTAATTAGAATAACAAAAATCACTCATATATACAGATATATGATCTTATGTGAATATCGTTTCGATAATGTACAATTATGTGAAGTCTCAGTCGTTTAAAAAGCTACATGTATAGAAAATTTGTTTTATGTAGCTTGATAAGATAATCAATAAAATTTGGTATTTGTTGAACAATTAAAAATAATTTATTATTATAAAAATAAAAGCAAAACCTATACATTTACAAAAATTGATTTAATCAAATATCAGATAATATTAATTTTTCTTGTTCAGTACCAATTACTATTGAATTAATTCCAAATTCTTGTACTCCAAAAGGAAAATTGAATGCTGACACATAAGATGTGTTTTTTTCAACTGAATATACATAATATTTTCCTGATGAACTTTTAATAAACCAATAATTATGTTGAAATGGAAAAAATGCATCAACATAATCATTTTCTAATTGAACTATTTTTAATAAATATAAATTTTCATTACGTAATTCAAAACGTCTATAAATCGATGATCCTCTACAAATTAGTAAGCCTATTGTTGAATTCGAATTTGTATTCATATGCGATATCCATTCATTTTTATCATCCGTTAAACAATCCCAACGTTTAATACATTCATTCATATAAATATCATTTTCATGACCATATGAATATTTCCATTGCTCAATGTAAGTACCAAGTGTACAATATGAAATATAAATTAATGTATTATTGAAACAAGATATGCATCGAAAACTAAACGAAAAAAAAAAGAAAGATTAAATTTTAAATCAAATATTCTTTTTCTTTCCTAACGGGTAATTTTTGTGTCGTGCAACTGAAATTTCTTGAAATTGATTTGTCTTTTGATCAAATGAAAATAAAGATCGGGGAAGAAGAACCAAAAATAATTCTGGAAATGAACACCATTTGATATCTACGATATCATCATTATTTATTCTTTTGTGATGGTCAGATAACACAATAGAAGATGTTATTAGTGTCTGTGGTGCTGAGAAAGGTGAAGGTTTTTACAAAAAAAAAGAAAACAAATAAATTTAGCAACTAACCTGCTAATATACGAGTTTGAAAACGTCTGTCAATATAATGAAGTTTTCTTTCATTATCGAGCCATAGGATAGATTCATTCTCTTTGCTTGATGCAAATTTTTTCATACTTTGAACTGATATAGTTCGATAAAATTTTATTGGAGTTCTGTGTGGTGATATGGATTTACAGGAAAATAGATTATATACATTAATTAAATCTTTTAGAACAATGTTTTTTGTATCTATATGTAGTTCACATTGAATTGATTCAAAGAATTGAGTAAGTTGATTAAAATCATATTCTATTGATGACAATTCCTAGGTAAATGAAGAACCAAATTCATAAGAAAACATTAAATGACTCAACTACTTTTTTAGATATTTCACCAATAGTTTGTATTTGTAACAATTGTGTCCCTATGCTCGATAGTTTTGATTGTAGATATTGTTTAAGAATATCTCCACGTTGATTTAACTCTGTTTCTAAACAATTAATTTCATCTAAACGTGATTTGTACATGTTTTCAATGCTGTCAAACATTTGGTTTTTCCAAGCATCAAGTTTATTATGAGTATTTTCGGATGCTTTTTCAGTAGTAAGATTTGAGACAATCTCCAATAAATCAGTCAATTCTTGAGATAATACTTCTGCTCGCATAATATTTCGTGTATTATGTTCATTAAGATGTTCAAGACATAAACTTTTGGGGCAATGATGACAAGAATGATGCGCTATTTTTGGACATTCGATTTCATTCTGGCATAGACTTGTTGGATTGATTGCAGCTGACAAAACTTGAGAAGGAGGAGAACTCAATATGAAACCTGTATTGAACATCTGTAAAGAAAAAGAGGAAAATGAAATGAATTAACTAAATCTATCTCAATCTAGATAAAATATATTCAAAATTTTGTTTTTTTTAATTTAATTTTTGAGTTAGTCAAAGAAACTAGATAAGTAAGAATAAGAAACCTTTTTTTAGAGGAATGTCGCAAGTTTATTCCCGTAACAAAAGAAACATTGCATTATATACACGCAAAACTTCGACAATGATTTGCGCTTTATCAGTTCAGCAATAATGTCTTTAGAATTGAATTCCAAATGTTGATCTATAAAGTAATAACCATATTGGTACAATAGTTAAACACACAACATCAACTGTCCATGTATTATATAAATGATAAGATGCAAAATATGTATCAAGATCATTTGAGAATTGTGCAAAATCTGGAAAAACAAATGTACCAGCCATTATTATCTGTGCTAAATAATGATAAAGAGCAAGAAAAACTAATGGATTAAGAAATGTAATAAATAAAAATCGACAGGTGAATTTAATAAACCAATGGTCTAATTTTATGACTCCGGCGATCAAATAACATGGCATAAGAAAACAAGCAGTAAGAAGTGCCATAGAAAAATTTAATAATGAAAGACAACCCAATAAAGCTGAGCCAATTAGTAATGTAATGAATTGAAAATGATCGAATTGATGTACATTCGAACGAAATCGACGTAAAATAAATGGACTTAGAAGCATCGTAATTAAACAGACTCCTAATAATGATAATTTTAAAGGTATCCATGTCAATACATATGAAAAAGCAAGACATTGAAATATTTCAATGAATATTGGTGAATATTCAGCATCGAATTTCATTGTTCGACCATGCGTAGCAGCTGAGTTTGTTGATGACGAAGTAAAAAATGACATATAAATAACAAGCGAACGAATCAATGCTGGTAAAGCAATGAAACCCAGTGGGACCATGTATGTTGCAATTGAAACAAAATTTCGACGATTTATATGTAGATAGAAGAAAAATGATTGATGAAACCGTTCAAGTAAATTATTTAAACTACGAATAAAACCTAAATAAATTAAAACATACATCGATTATTCAAAACAAATCCTGTTTGATTTCAATATGAAATATATTGTTGATAATCATGAGAAGATTATTCTATTTACATTGGAATATATTTCTTCGCGAACTTTTTACTGGATCCTTCAGAAAAATACAATCTACAGTGATGTATCAACTAAGATATCTTTCTAGGATGTATTTCAGCACGTAGAAATTCGAATTTTTATTTCTCACTATTTTATTTACCTTCAATAACATCATCAAAAGCTCTCATTGCAACAGGAGAACTTTGATATTCATGATGTTTATCTAAACTTCCAAAAAGAGTTATCATTTCAATACGATAACGTAGAAATTGTCCATGTACACCATTGGATATACCAGTTGCTAATGTGAAAACATTGAGCAATAAAGTGCGTGTTGATTGAATTATATAATTCATAAAAGCTTCATTCGTCGATAACTCCACATAAACACCATAAAATGTAGTAGCTATAGAATTTTTCTCACATAAATGTACGACCGTATTAATTAAATCAAGATTCGTTAATTGACCATTAATACCATTATGTCGTAAATCAATTGAATAGAATTTTTCATACGGAAATTCTAATGCTAAACCAGCTTGAATTGATCCAGCATGAGCATCAAGTAGTGACGCTTGTGGATTACTATTGTAATAAGCATCTAGCCATACACGTGTGCCATATTCTTGTGCTGCTGGAAAAAGAAGAATAATATCTTTTGACATATATGGCTTGCGATGAAGTGCAAAACCAATGGCTAATGTATGAGCAATGCCTAAAATAAATTTATTGTTATTTGATAAAATATTTTTATTTCGACTGCTTTTTGAATTTACCAAATACATTAGCTTTGTTTTGTTGAGGTTTCGTTTGAGTACGAGCATAGAGTGGTGCAACAAGAATGATGGATTCTGTTGACGCTAATCTGGGTGCTCGTACAATACCATAAATATTTTCCTCTGGTTTATCGGTTGAATTTCTTCCAATATCTTGTTTATATGCTTCAATACCATTTTCATTTAACATCAATTGAATAACATCAGCTATATCATTATTTTTAAATCCTGTTCGTAATCGTCCCATAATATTGCGAATGTGCTCAACAGATATATATAAATCGCTGGAAACAAGACCAGGTGACAAAGCATTTTCAGATAGATATGTTCGACGGCTAACAATGGGTGAAGTTAAATAGAGAAAACCTAATAGACCAAGTAGAAATAAGCCAGAATACAATTGAAATTGAAATTTATAGAAGTTCTTTGGAATATCCCTCGATAATAAATTGCTTAGAAGAGGCATCTAGAGAATAAAACAAAATGATTGATAATCTCGAAGTATTCCTCTCGTTAACTACAAATATTCAAGATTTGATTTTGTCAATATTCTTCAACTTTCAATGTTGACAATTCGTGTCATTGATATGATTACCTTTTTGTTTTTTCATGTACTTTCTGTTCAAAGTATTGAATGATCAATTGAAGTAGCGAATGAAAAGAACGAGACAATTATGCGAAGGCAGTTGCCTAGAAACGAACAAGAAAAATGGTACATACAGAATAACAAAAAAATACTTAAACAATCGATAATGGATTGTTATTTTACATAATAGCAGTACATGCTTTTGAAGCCGTATAAAAAAAACATATAATGTTTCTCTTATGAAAACACATTTTGCATTTTTTAGCTTGGAAGTCATGGATTTAAAAGACACTCATGTTCCATTTATTAGTCCATCTGGCATATTTGATTGGGAACAGGATCGTATAGACGCTCAACATCGTATTGAACTTTTCCCATCACTTGTCTCATCTTTACAAGGACCACCTTTATATGGTGCTCCGTCGACTAACAGCTATGAAAACGATATCCCACCGTTAATCTGTCGACCAGATCTTCATCAAGATCATGTATCAATGACCTATACTCTTCTTCGACCGATGCCTTCATCCTATCACTGTCTATTAGATCCATCACGACGACTGAATGAAAAAACGCATATCGATGAATTAGGTGATAATGTTACAGTGAGCATTCCAGGTCTTTCGCGTTACGATCGTGATCCGCCTCTAATATTTGATTTACCGAAGTTAAATGGTCCATTAAATAAAGAACAACCTGAATATACTTGGTATCATAATAATGAAGCAGAAATAGGCAAGATTTTCCCAGAGAATTATTGGAATCGACATAAACTTGCCGGAAAAGCGCCTTCCGCTTATCTTGTACCTACTGTACTTTAAAAACAGAAAACTATTTAAAATATGATCCCAATCCTATACTATCCTTTAGTTTTCTACACTGAATTTTTATTTTTATTTTAATAACATTCACATGTGTTTTAGATGAAGAATGATAGAGAATGTATTCGTTGTTGCAGGAGCCCATGTATACAAACATTTCAATTGGTAAATCAATCATTATCGATTAAAAAATGGTAATTTTGATGGATTGTACAAGCTGTAATGTTGTAAGAGAATTTCGAAATGCAGAGGATCGAGTCATTTTGTTTTTTGGCAACATCCATTGTATTCAAATGAATATGGTATTGATTTATAAAAACAACTAAAGAAAAACAGAACGGCGTAACACAATAATTTCTTGTCATATACCGATGAATTGTATTATAATAATGAAAAACAATCAACTTATGATCGACAGAAGCCATTGATTAAAATATGTTGAGATGAACATGAAAATAGTAGCGTAGAATAAAAGAAATTATTTCTCAAGACGATCACCAAAAGCAAAACTCCAATGACTAATACATCGATTATAAAATTCATGTGGTTACAATAATTGTGCCAGTGATGTAATCTTATGATTAAATGCTTGATGAATCTTAGCATGATTTACTGTAATTGTTATCTATGTAGATTGTTTTTGAAAATTTCTCTGCTTATTAACATGTGTCATACTTGAATCGTGATAAAAAAAAATATCATCTACATTATTTTTCTTTACGCCCTAAAGATTCTTTTTATTTCCTTTATCATCGTCGCATTGATTTGCTAAATAGATAGTTATATTGGCTAATAACATATCTGCCATGTATTCATTGTCATCAATTGATTATTTTCTCATAATAAAGATATCTACCTGAAAAACGCATTTTGTGATTACTAAAGAACGAATATTTAGTTGTGATTATGGTTTTTTGACAGTACAACATTAAATAATTTTTTCAATATTGATCAAACTATTAGCCATGTCAATGTCAATGCTTACTACGATCTGTATAGGAGTGATCAATCAACACCATTATATAAAATATATGAAAATCTCTCTGACCAAAGAATGTATGCACATATGTAACTATCTAAACAAATTTAAAAAATTTTTTTTTTCATAAACGAGGTTCCATTTTTCAACCGAGAATCAATCAAGAAGCATAAGAGATATTTTCTGACGTTCACTTTTTGTAAATCATGTCTTACTGAATACAGTCTTCACGCCGATTTAAATCCTGTACTGTTTAATTGCCATCTTCAGATGATTTCAATTGAACTCAATACACTTCGTCTCGTTTAAAAATACGCTCATGTTGGAACTATTAATCAACATGAATGACAACCAATCGAAGCTCTGTTTTTCTTTGTATTCTCATCAGAGACGTGCACAGGGTAGGGCGGTCCTGTTGTCTTGTCCTGCCGCCCGCCAGGACCAAGGTAGCCAACAGGACAGACAAGGACAGGAGAAAAAATTAAGTCCTGTGCACGTCTCTGATCTGGATATGCGTAAAAGTTTTCTCTGTCAATGTACAACAATATTCATACGCTACTTCATGAAGAAATTTCTATTTAGGACGGAAAACGAAAATATGCATAACATTAATATGCTAATATCGTTAAAGACCGCTCTTAATTATGATTTTGAATAAGTCATACAGTAGAGTATTATGCCAGTTTACTTTTCTTTCTACGAATTCATTCAAGCATTGATTCGCTGTGAAATTTAGCAAAATTGAAATTAATTGAATGAAAACGAAAGCATACTTCTCATAATTCGAGGATTGTAGATGTGCATCATTGGATTTGAAGATGAAGATAGGAAACGGAGACACATACACACAATGCGCACTGGTATACCATCAGCTCCCAGACCCTACTTAATATTTTTCCTGAATCAGTGAAAACTCACCATTTGCCTTTCAGTTGAATCTTTTCGTAATTTAGAAATAAATTATGTTGAAATGTTTTCTTCTTTAATCATGCGAACTGAATAGAGTCGTTTCTCGTTCGTCTACCAATTCAGTTGCATGAGTATATGCTTATCAGTTTATTCTGAAAGCGTGCGTTGCTTTTTATGTACATGCTTGTTTTGAATTCATACGTATTTGAGGGAAACAGTTGTGTAACAGTGAGATATATTCGTTTCATTTATCCTCTTCCAATATTCGATTGGCTTACTGATCGTATCCATTCTAAGAGATTTTATAATCCTCCTTACTGAATTTATCGCATTTATTTTAAATAACAGCAAGAAACATATATTGATGCCAATTTTTATTTTTATCAGTTGCATACAATTTTTGTAAATATTGATTATCAGAAATTTTAAAATTTAATTTACGCAATAGGAGAATTTCCTTTTTCTTTTCATATACTCTTCATTATAAGGAAAGCAAAGAAGAATAAATATCTCTTAACGCGTGTTATAGTTCTACTATTTCACTGATTCATCTGTTTGTTGGCTGCTTGTAAAGACGTTCTTCTTGCGCTGTCGATATAGTAGTTCAATTTTCATCTATTAGAATCATCATGCTACTCGGTAATGTTCGAAGAGATATGAATACAGATTACCGAAGAAATTCTAATGCGCTCTATTCGATACCACCATTAATGAATACGTCGTTATCATTACCAAAAACCATTCGAACTTCAATTATACAACAGAAAACAATGATGAACTATGATCACAAGTCGTCGTACTGTTATACAACTGTTTGCTATGCCTTTTTTAATGATAAATTCAAAATGATAGTTTTTAATTTTTTATAGGTTGCATTACTTTCGTTACGATCCTCATTGAACATAACAATATTTCCAGATCATCTGGTCGAACGACGTTTTCTTGAGTAAATATTCGAAATATTTCTATTAGTTTTGATTGGACTCATTTAGTAAAGAAAACTACATTGATCTTGATCGAATGTTAGTAGAAAAAGCTGGTAAATTTGATTTGAAATCATTCAATATGAGCGATGGACCAATCTTGCCGAGTAGAATACATAAATATGATTTTTCTGATACGGCAGTTATTGAAGTAAATTATTTTTATTTGTTGTACATCATACTTTTGTAAGTCTTTTTGTTAAAACTATGTAGAAAGTAAAAGGTCGCCGTCCAAAACATCCATTAACACCACAACAAGTAGCTGCTCTCACCACAGTTGCAACACGTTATCAACCATCAACATCATTAGATTCTCATCAAAGTCAATCTTCTCATGTTTGGATTGATGATTATAGTCATCGGAAAGCACAAAATAATTCACCTCGACACCATTTACCAGCACAACCTTTAATGCCGTATCAAAGACAAAATCCTAATCAATGTGAATTATATACAAATCAAATTAAGTCTCTTCTATCAACTTATCAATCATCTAAAGAACAGAAAAATGATGAAACCATCAATAAAACAGCAAATACTATTCCAATTTTACAACGTTTATTTGAAGCTCAACGACTTCAAAAGTAAAATAAAAATGAAAAATATTCCTTTTCTTGTGAAACTTTTTATTCTTATGTTTAGAGTTGAACAAGGAAAACTGAAGTCATCAGAAATAACAGATGTCGTAAGTGATATATCCTATAAGCATAATAAATAGTATTCTCTTTAGTTGGATCAACAATCTCCATCACATTTAACATCAACACCCAAATATTATGAACAAGGTTCATCTGTATTTTGCACACCAACAACGCCAAAACAATCAAACTCGAATGATGCACTCGAATGGATTTGTTCAACTAATAAAAATCAGAACGTATGCATTTTTTTTATCTATTTTATTTTTGTTTTCATTGATAATATTTCATATTATTATTATTAATAATAGGATGTATTTACTCAACGGCTCAATGAACATCTTAACTATTCAACAACACTACAAACGCCTACTACATCGAGTAGTAATAGTACTAGTCGATCGAATAATGATAGTCAACGTAGTACAGAAGAAGATGATCAACAGAATTTTTTCTCAGCACTACCATCACGTATGTTTTCCGTTCAAAATTTACGTGCATTTTTGTTTTTGTTTTTTTGTAGCTATTGAACAACAAGATAGTTTACCATCTATTTTGAGCAATCGTACAGTCGATAAATTATGTTGCGCAATATCAAACGATCATCGTTCATTGGAATATTGGTTTGGTACTTCTATACACCAGAATACTTATCCACGAGTACCATCCGAGAATGTTTTATCTGCATGTGACTTTGAACAGTGACGTTTTGCTTTTATTGTTTTATTCGTTTTTCTCTTATACATTCCAAATCGATGCATCCTATTGTTTATTAGATATTCGTCGTTTTGGAATGCTGGTTTTTATAGGAAAAAATATATATATCGTTTTATCTCAAAGTTCAACAATACGTTTAACTGAATATAGATGATAAGGATGTACTTTGAACGTTGGATCAAGAGCAACTTCCACACGAGATGGTGATGATGATGAGTGATATCGATCTATTTCTGTTGTAGATGATAGAAGCGCAGCACTTTGATTAGTATTACTAAATATAATTGAATAATATCCATTTAAATGATCTTTTAGAATAGGATTTCTGGTACTTGATCTTATTGTTCATGGCGCTGATCGGAAGTTTTACCGAACTTTGGCTTTGTGAATTGATGATATCAATTGCATTTTCTTTTTGCGTTTCTTTAGTTTCACGTTGAATTCTTTCAATTTTACCTAATAAGAATGGCTCTTTCTTGAGAATATTTTCGAAGAAAAGAAAAAAGAAAACACAAACGTCGTTTTCGTATCATCTTTCCGCAAAGAATACCAAATATTATGGCAGCAGTTAAAATACAACTGATTCCTAATAGTAGCATAGGTAGTGCTTTTTCTATTCCTATTTATATCATAGACATGAAAACTATCAATACTATTTACAGATAATACTTACCAATGCGTCGAATGGACATTTTCATAAGGATCTTCTATTAATTATAGGATTTCTCTAGGCGCCAATACACATTTCTATGAGTAATTTTACAATTGACTCATGTTGGATCTTTCAATGTTGTTAAACTTATTTTAAGAATATTTTTATTGCCTTTAAAAAGCTTAGAATAGAACCATTAGACCAGGACAATATTACATTCAAGAGAAAGTGTGTTTAGATCAATGATCATGTATTTAAATATTTTATGGAAAAATGAAAAAAAAAAACGAACGTTCTATTTTTACAACACAATTGATACTAAGGACGAAATTCTTCTGGTTTGACTGTGAATGCTAGACGTGGTGATGTAAAATGACTCGTTTTTGGATCAAGATATAGATAATAAGGTCGATTTTGACTGTCAATACCTAACACACCAATATTACCATCGCGTAATCGAAATATTTTATCAAATTGTTTGAATTTTAAATTGGCTGATATTGGTGTCCATTCAGTAAAACTATCTAATTGAGCACAATTGAAATTTGTCGATAGCTGTAAATTATTATTCGTATCAATTGCTAATAGATAACATATTTGATCAAGACTTGATTCATTCAATGGTTTTGATGTTAAAAATGTTGGTTGAATTATAAATTGGTATTGTCGATCTCGGCCAATAGATTGCCATGTACTCCATACACCTGATTTCCAAAGAATTCGATAAATTTGTCCATTTTCAAATATAGCAAAACAATAACGATGTATTTGTCCCACGTAGCTACAAACAGGTGCTGTTTCATCACGAATTCGATCGGTTGGATTACCTAATTGAGTAGCTCGCCATGTATTTGTTGACAATTCAGCATATTCGGTAAGACCATTGACTGCATTTCGAGCAAAACAATAAATTTGTCGACTAATTGATAATTCGTGAATGTAACACATTGGATCGCCTGATAACGAAAATGCAATATCATGAGCTGATAAAACTTCATCGTCAGCAATTATTCGACGGTAAAGTGTATTTTGAGAATTGCGAACATATACAGCAACACTATTTATATTAGTTAAACCAAATGCTGTACCACGATTACTGCCGCCTATATTTTCTATGCTATGAAATCCTTTTCGTGTAAATTGAGCAAGTTTAAGAGAATGTTGAGAATCTTGAACACTTAGACCAAAACAATATTTTGTTTCATTACTAAATGCATTGAAATGAAATTATATTCAATAAACTAAAATAACAAAGAATATAGTTTTACTTGACAGTACAACTAAGTTGTGGTAATTCTTCTAAAATTCGATTATCGATAAGAAACCAATCAAAAGAAAGTTCTTTTTCAGTAATTGATCTTACTGTAACCATATGATAGATATTATTAGTACCTAGAACAAGACATGTTGTCGCATAATCTTCGTTAGTACAATCGACAATACGACGAACAGTTGTTTGGCCTTGATAAAAATATAACATTACAAATTTATCAAGAAATAAAATGCAAAATTCTACCACAATTCGAATTTTTCGCCCAATAGATACTTGCTGCACATACCTAAGTCAGTAATAAACAGATTTCGATTCAAGAAGTGTAAAATAAAAATGATTTACACATATTTTTTTCGATACATCAGATGTTTTCTCACATACAAGGCCAATTTCTCGATGGCATTGATGATCAATACTGCATGAGTCATTGATTTCACCTTTTCGAACTGTGGATAAATATAGATTTATGTACAAAAAAATGAATCGCATAAATTGATAAAGAGAATATCATTTTGTCTTACTGCATTGATTTTGTCGAACTGACCAGTAATGAGATCCTTCGCACAGGCAACTTTTATTTTCGTTCCATCCATATTCACATAATAATCCATATTCAATATAACAATCGTATAATTGATTACATGATTCTTTATAGGTACTTTTCAGACCACTAGTCGGTTTCATTGATGAATTGAATGTAGTCTACAGTGTAATCGATAGAGGAGAATTTTGTTTCTAAACAATTTTCTCTCACTGATATTGATGTTGACATCGTCATTGTTGATGTAGTCGATGTCGACATTACTATTAATGAGTAAATCAACGAAAGCATTCAAGTAGAATGATTTAATCTTACTACTCGATGTGGAACTTGAATTTGTGTTCGTTGTTGATAGACATGGGTTCGGTAGACAAATAAGATGTTTTTGATTGATTGTACTATTCAACTGCATAGGTTTAATAAGATACCCTATCAAGAGCGCAATGGTTGCAATCAAACAAAGTGCAACAAATATACCACCAATAGCATATCCAAAGCGGTATGAGAGTTTTTTCTATAGTAGATAGGTTTTTATAGAAATAGAAATAGATAAAAAAAAGTTAAATTTACGGTAATACTAAAGCTTTTGAATTGAGACATGTTTGAAATCTCTATGATAGAATTCACCGGCTGCTGTATACCATGATAACAAAAAAAGGAGGGAAGAAGAACCATATACCACCAGGTGAGATTAATGTGATACATTTGTTGATAGACATTAATGAATGTCACTGAGCCATTAAAATGAGAACTTCATCCATGTGGCCTATTTGATGGTAAACACTATGTTTTGTCATCGGAATCATTTTTTCGGCAGCAGTTATTCGGAGTAAAAAGGAATTATCAACGAATCAAACAATCAATTATATTAAATGACTATAATAATCATAATAATAAAGATAAATAAAAGAAATTTCAGATATGTGCATATTCCTATAGGCGATTTTATTATCAAATTTTTTGTTAATTGAATATATTCTTATCTTTTGCAGACAATGTATCAAGGATATGAGTACAAAAAGAACAGAGTTTTAAAAAGACATTTTCTGTTAGAGAGTTTTCTGACTTGCTTTTGATGTAGTTTCAAAGTCTTTAATTACTTGTCCGAGTAGAAATTCCTAGTCTCGTAGAATTGTTTTCAATTATACTAATCTTCGAGCAGCAAACTTTTGAGACTCCATTTTTTCTAACTGTTCATTGTTCATCAGCTCTTTAAGAGGATTTGTATCTCACCAACAAGTAACTAATGCACGAGTAAAAACTGATTAGTCACTGTAATGTTAGTCGTATCTTTCACCATTCAAAAGTGGTATAGAGGCCCTTTGAATATTCAAAGACATCTCGAATACGCAGATTTCATAATGAACTAAACTAAATTTGACTATTAGTTTTAGATGTGAACAACTATAAGAATGACATCTTTCGTTTCATCAGTAAACACTGACAATAATTGGCAGCATACAAACTGGGACTGACAATTTTTCTTACATTTATTGGGTCATAACTATATCTGTGCAAAGTTCATTATTATCAGACAGATGAACATTCTGAGAATAGATTGCTATAGTCAGTCATGACATTTTTCTCAATTGTTATAAATTAGAAAAACGAGAAAAACTTTATAAGTTTTGTCTTTTAATGACATCTATGAAATGGATTCCTGTATTGGATATATTAATTTTCTGTACATCTTCTAGTCGATTATATATTTATAAGTAAGTTAGTTCTTGAATATATATTTTAAGATAGTTGCAGGTAATAATAGATAGATAGAGGGCAGATTAATAAAATTTAAAAAAGAAACCTGGCGAATATCGAGGTAGTATATGATTGTCTTTTTCCTTCTTTCTTCAACCGGCTGTTATCAATCGAAATTTCGTTCTTGTATTTCTTTGTTCGTTCGATTATAAGATTGATTTTTTTTTGTATATCTTCTTTCGTTATATTCAGATCGCATTGATCGAAACATAAAAATTATGTCTTGATAAGTACAAACACATCATAAATAGACTATTTTGAACACAAAAAAAACTGCTAAACTGGCTCCTTTATTACATCGTACATCTTCATTAATATCGACATCAGCTATCAATCCAAAATCGATGTTAAATCAAGAAGAAATTCATCGTTATTTTAATCATTTGAGCGGAGCAAAGCGTATCGAATTCTTATATGGTCTTCTACATCTATGTCAACCATTAGAATTAAGATATTTAGGCACATGTTTAGAAGAAATAGCACGCAAAGATTATGAATATTTATATCATGCTGAACAGAAAACAAATCATTTATCATCTACGCAAACTGTGTCATCATCATCGACTTCATCAGTATCGAGTAGCAACGAACAAGACAATCAACCAGTAGAACTTTCATCTGATGAAAAATTAGATTTAACAGATCAATTTACACGTGCACACGCCATCGTTGATATTGGTAAATGATTTCAGCGGATAATAAAAATGTAAAAATTGATACAAACTTGTTGTATTATTTAGCACTCTTGTGGGCAAAAAATCGGGCATGTGCTATACGATTATTTCGTCGTCTAAAAGCTAGCGAAAGCGTTAACTTAGTTGATCTGCTTCTTGAACGCGATGATTTAGATGAACGAACAATGGATGAAATATTAATCATATTTTGTTTAGCTTCTAATCATCCAGCATTTAGTTTTGATATGCGTACACAAATGTCTCAAATATTTAAAGACTTAGAGAAACGACAAAGAAAAATGAAATTACTAGAAACTACACAAAATAATGTTAATGACGATGATACACTCGAGCAATCAACATGTTTAGGTTATCATTCTGTATCATCGATGATGCATAATTCCAATACATTTAGTGTACATGCATCACGTATGAAATAAGTTTTTGCTTTACTTACGTGAATATATTTCTTTGCTATTTCTAGCTCTTTTAACTCGATTAACTGTTGTGAACTTTGATATAGATTCAGTATCACTAAGAATATTAATTAGAGCTGATTGGTCAGATAATAATTCAACTCTCACATGGAAAACCCCAAATGATATTCGTTCGTTTCATTTACAAGTATGTGCATCATACATTATTTATATATATATATATTTTTTAAATTTATTTCTTAATATCTCTAATATATGCTGCGCAAATTTATTCATATAATACCATCTCAAAAAGTTATAGTAGCTCGTGTCGTTTAAAATTCAGCATAGAGAATGAGACATCGAAATGTACCCCGTTCAAGATACAACTAACGTTATATCTGATGAACGAATAATGGTTTGAACAGATAAATCAGTCAAAAATCATGAATAACACATATGAGAGATGAATTTGAGCTGCTATCGCTCTTTTGGACTTATATTAACTCGTATAGAGTGACGTGTTCATGGAACTAGTCAAAGAAAAGGAAAGATTCGTCCGTTTCTGTCCCAGAATCGAAACATAGGTTTTTTGATGGTGTGTCTGACTAAATCATACTTTGAATATGATAACAAAACATAAATTCTATATTTTACTTGAAAATTTTTGAAAGCTTTCTAGTACGATAAAAACCGATTAGAACATAAAAGAATAGAATATCATGAAATTTATCACTATGATTTGCTTCTTGAAAAGTTAATAAAAGAGAATCCATGATGATAAACTGTTTTTAGTGATATCAAGATTGATGTCGACTGATCATATGAAATTGTAGCTCATGAAATAGTTTCGAGCAATTTGCTCGTCATGTTACAATGAAATCCAAAAACATTTAGTTCTCTTCTTTCATTATTCTTCATGGAACAACGAAGAATACAATCACAAATAAATCAAACGATAATTTTTTCTCACTTAGCTATCGAATATTGTTTATCATGACGACGTACGATTGGAACGCTTAATGAATATCTCTGGTTGTTTACGTGATATTGGTTCATTAACTGAACCTGATATTGAGTCAATGAAAAAAAATATTCAAATCTACATAGAGTGAGTTTTCTTATACTTTAAATCTTATTGTTTCAAATAAAGAAAAATAATTTATCAATAGACATCTCGTCTATTTTTCTTCATATATATCAACAATATCAACTTTAGCAAGATTTTTTAATTCATCATTGAAACTTGTTGATTCGAAACAACGATTATTTAATCCAAGCAATACTTTGAATGAGTCATTATCATCATCGCCAACGCATTCTAATGCAGTAACACCACTACGTAACTTCTTCTATTAGCTATTTTCTTTCATCAAAAAGTTTTGTTTTTCGTTTTCTATTTTTCAGAATGTGAAATACCTATTCAACAACAAACAGATGCAGATAGTAAAACATTATCGTCACCAAAATTATCAATAAGTTTTAACAAATCTAAACAACAATTAGATGTAACTAAGCAAGCTCGTTCAATAATTCCAACAAATAATGGTACACAAACTGGATTAGAAGTACGATGTGAAGAAACTCAAACTGATCGAATGCCTGGACCCGGTTTTGTTCTTGCTGAACATCAAGATTATCTTCGACGATATTCAATGGATGAAGTAAATTTTTGATAAATATTTATTTTTGTTAATTTCATTGAATTCTAGTTAGCAAAATTAACTCCACGCGATCTTATTGTTGATGGACTTGATTCAACTACAGCTCATTTACTTTGTGGAGCTCTCGATGATTTAAAGTAAACCAATAAATTAGTTTCCTATGTTTTTCAATTGATTTTTTTCATCAATTTAGACCGATGAGCGTTCATTTAACTAATAGTAATAGACATGTTCGTTCACCATCTACTTTTATTCAAATTCCTCCATCATCATCATCATCTTTACTACCACCACCACCACCACCACCTTTACTTGATGCTGCTCTAATGACTGTTGTACAAAACCAACAAGCATCTCGTATATCAACTCATGCTTCTGATCGAAATCAGCTTGAGCAAACTGTAATTAATTTTGGAGGTGTCCGGCCATGTTCATCATCAAGTCCAAGTCCAAAATTACCGAAAATGGGAACAATAAACAACGGAAATAACAATGGTGTAGCTCCACCACCACCAACATCACTACCTTCTCATCAATCTTCTTCATTACCATCGTCATCATCAAATTGTCCACCGCAAAATCAACATCACGCTCCATTATTAACTACACATTCATTTCTTTACAATCCAATGGAACCTTGCATATTTCCAATAGCTATTCCACCTGGTTTTCCATCTTCATCATCCGATTTTATCAGATTATTCGCTCCAAACATGTCGGCAGCAACAGCAGCTACTATGGGTAATACAAATAATTCATCGGGTGCGAGTTTTGTTCAGAATTCAATTGGTTCACAAGGACACGGACCTAATTCTCGTTCAACAACACAATCAAACGGTGCGACAACACCACCAGAGCAGCATGGACCGAACGTTCATCATTATCATCCATCTTCATCGACATCATCATCGACTATTTCTCGTCATCAACAATCATATTATCGTCAAAGACAACAGTATCCAATGGATTCACATCAATTTCAACAAAATATATCTCATAGTTATCATCATCAACAACGACAATCACAAATATCCTATTCACAGCCACAACAACATAATCGACCTAAAGCATGTTACACTTGCGGTGATATTGGTCATTTAGCTTTTGCCTGTCCTGAACAGTATTCATCAGATTCAAATTATTCTCATAATACTAGAGGTAAAAAAGAAAACTAATGAATTTTATTTTGCCACTTCATGGATAAATATTTCAGATGGCTATAAGCTTGATTACCGACCAAGACTTAATACATCGACAAATTTACACCAACAGCAAAAGCAAATGCGCTCAAATTCAACATCGAAAACTAAAGTTCGAGACAATAGTTGAACTTTTATTTATTTTTTGTTTCATTATTGTTTATTTACCTTTTCTTCTCGTTTATACTCATCAAAACAATACTACATATTACGACATTCTTTTTGCATTTGTTTTGCCCATTTTCTCTATTTGCCATATTGATTTCCTATCATAGATTTATTTCATTTCTTTTTTTTTTCATTTTCATTCTATCCTGTCTTTCGTTTTTGTTGTAACGACGACACAAGTCTTTTCTTTTACGATCTATAGAGAACACATTCCATCTTTAATACATGTATGCATACACATATATATATATAAATATATATTTGCAATTACTTCGTTTTCATTTTCAAAACTTTTAAATCACGGAAAAATTGAGAGAGAGAGAGACTATCCACAAGTGAAAACGATATAGAATATTGATACGTAGTCGAACACAAGAAAAACTAGTATGATGAATTTAAATGAATCTAAGAGTATTGGCAATTAGATATGTAATTGTTCTATCATTTAATATGAATTTAAAATATTCATTTATCTATCAAAAGGTGTCGATTTTCAAACTATACAGAAATTTTTGCTATTTATATTCGTAACTAAATTCGTTTTTATGGCGAAACAACTAGCACACTGATATGCACTATAGATCTTTAGCAAGAAGACAAAAACAGACGAAGAACACGCATGGCATTGCTCACGGTACATCATTCTAGGTTTTCTTAGAAAAATAAAGAAATATCTTTCTCATGGAGTCATTTATCGTTTCGGGTATATTTTTTTTGGAAGCCCGGAATTTTCGGGCCGGACTTTCGGCCCAGTATGAAATGAATATAAGGATGAGAATGACCCAGTTTTATGATAAAAAAAATTTCATTTGAGGCCGAAAGTCCGGCCCGAAAATTCCTTGGGCCGAAATTCATGTAACCCTTTTTTTTAAACTACAAATCACATTTTCGTGTAAAATTTCTAGATACAACTAATAGCTGAAAATGGATTTGTCCTACAAAATACAAAACGTTTTTGTGTTGACACAAGTAACGATATAAACCATTAGGAATAAACAAGCTATGGAAATGTTGACATTGTCATATGACGATAAAATATTTTCTTAAAAACTTAAATTCTTAATAGAACAAGATTTGAAATATTCTATATTTTCGTATGAGAATGAATATTTTGTGTAAGTTGAAATGAGAGAATTTTTCCATGAACATTTTATTCGATTCATTAGTGTCCGACCGTTATTACAAAATATTGATACATGAACAAAATATAGATATTTTTCTACGAACAAATCTGTCACACTTATTTAATGAATGATGTTCGCAATATCATCATAATCGATCTATATGGAAATCATCATCTCTTATATAAGATGCGTTACTGTACATGTTCATTTGTATTTGCTTAAATGGTGATGTCATCGTTATCATTATTCATTAGATTGTTTATACGAGAGAGAACAGTATCACTGTTTCTCATAGAACGAAAATCGAGGAAAACAATTGTGTAATCTTATCATTCATCTTCAAGTTATGAGCGAATTCGATATATCATTCAATCAATCAATCCAAATAATTGATTGATACATTTTTTTTTATATGAACAAGTTGTTTATCCTTTGAATATTAACAAATCGACTACTTATATATTCCAAGAAGCTATCAATTCTTGCATAACCTATTACTTGAGAATCGTATCAAAAGAAAAAGACGAGAAATTTCAGAAAAAAACAAATTTTCGTTTTATTTATTTTTTTCTACCATCAAACAATTTTCATCACAAAAAACAAAAATAAATTAACTTATTTAATTCTCCTCATCGAGTTTTTTCTTCAACTCTTTTCGCATTTCTGTTGACGCTACAATAATTAACAGAGTAAAGACAAGGAAACAAAAGCAAAAGATTAGCATTAACAATGAATAATACAAATAAAACATCGTTCAGATTCAGATAAACAGAAATGGAAAAAATTTCAATACAGCACGCAACACACAAAAAAATAATAATAATAATAATTCTTTTCAAAAGACATGGCTTGTTTTCAATAATTAGATTCAAAACAAAAAAAAGCAAATTTCTTTTTTATTCAAGATCGGAATCGGCTGATGATGATTCATCATGTATTGATCGTTGCCAAGTTTTAAGACGCTGTTCAAGTATTGTTTGCCATGCACATTGTAAACATTTACTTGGATAACGGATTTTATATGGAATATTCGGTTTATTCGAAACAAATAGTAAAGCATCGTCACCTATTGAGAAAAGAAACAAATTGCATAAAAATTATCGATTTAAAATACCGAACTACATACGTTCATTGCTAGATCGAAAATCGACAATATCAGTTAACAGAATTGCATTACAAACAAGTGTTAAACGTGTATCGATTGCATTACGTTGTGTAAATAATAGCATATCATTTAAAAGAATAGCCCATGTCTAATAAATAATAGAAAAAGAAACAGAATATTAAAAATATGAAATAGATAACAGAAAAAAAGCAATTTGACACGAGTCTACCGAATGCAAAGTGTTCAGATCTAACGATACTAGTTAAGGTTCTTGTTTCTTTTTTTCAAGACAATATATTTACCTCAGTATAATTTTTATTTTCATTTTGTAACAGAAGTACACCCGAAAAAATGACGTGTCGATTTCGACCAGTAACAGTGACAGGCTAAATAAATTAAAAATAGTTCTCAAAGATTCATTTTCTCAGTTGCTTACTTGAATATGTTTTCTAAATTGAAGACGATTCTGTAGATCAACTATTTGATCATCTTCGGATTGACTTATTGACGATGATGTTATTCCACTGGCACTGTTCAATGTCATTGTTGTGGTACAATGATGGTGACTTGTTGATGATGATTCATTATATAATGAACATTGACGTAATTCTACAATATAAGAAATAGTTTCTAGACATTTCTGATTCAATTTGCAATGTTTTCGCTTTTTTTACCTTTGAGAACATGTAAAAGATAATTTGCATCATTTGCATTTTCACATATACAGCATAATGTATCCAATTGATTAGCAAGATTATCGATATGATTAAGAGGAATTTGTAAAAACTGTTCAATTGAAAGATTTGAATTATTTTCTTGAATAAATCTTTGAAAACTAGCACATTTTGAAAGCTGTTTCAATTGTGAACAAGCTTCTGAATAACCAGATATGTAACGTGTAAATGCTTCACATATTAGTTGAACTTTTTCATGAAATATTCGACCAATATGACTTATTATTGTTCGTTCAGATAGTGATTGCAAACGATTTAACTGATAACGTGATATAGCTAATATCTATATAAAACGTATCATGTTTTTTTCTTTTCTATTACAAATACAAAGAAAAAAATGTTAATAATTTACTTTTTCAATATTTTGAAATAATTTAGCATGTTCATTTGACGAAATTAAATAATGTTTCAATGGACGTGAATATAATTGTACACCGAGTTCAAGTTGACAAATAAAGTCTTTCTCAATTTCAATTAAATGTATAGCTTCGCGTTCGTAGGTTTCAGAAATAATCTCCTAAAAATTAGAAAAAAAGATTCAATTTTATTCTTTACTCTTTAATACAAAAGAAACGTGATCTACTTACTAAACGATTTTCACCATCTGAATACGGATTACTTTCCGAACCAACACCAGATTCACTTCCATCACTTCGTTCAGATATTTTGCGATAAATTGGTGACATAAGTAATGATTGTTCTTGTTTATTATTATTATTATTATTATTATCATTATTATTAGTATTAGTATTTTTATTAAGAACAATTGTTTCAGGAAGTATGCAACTTGTTATTTCATCATAATTATCATAGGGTTTATCTGATGAACAAAAGGCTCGATCAGCATAAGTATCACTAAATGAATAATTATGATCAGATTTTTTTGAAAATATATTTGAAATTAATGGTTGATGTTGATCAATTGAATTCAATACAATTTTATCGATTTTATTGGATGTCGTTGGAACAGAACGACGATATAATTGAAGAATTATTGGCAATGGTAAATTTCTATTCGAAATAAAAACAAAAAGAATTAGTTGATTTCTTCATCAACAACAAAAAATAAAAAAGAATAGATTACTAACCGCATTAATTTATTAACAGCTTTAGCTTGTGTACGTGAAACATTAATATCATTAACTTGTAGAAGAATGTCACCAGGTATTGGTCGAGTAGATGATGAACCAATACCGGATTTAACTTCACTAACTGTACAAGGAAATCCAGAAGCAAAATGAATATCATCACGATCAAATATATCAACCTAAATAAAAATTTGCAATTTATACATATGATTATTCTGATTTTGTTTTAGTGATACTCAATATCCTTAAAATATCTTTCTTTTTTAATTTCCTCTTGTAATTCATTAATGAATCTATATAGTATAAATCGATATGTATTCTTATTTATAAATTATATGAAGGAACAATTGTTTGAATTCTTTTAGTGAATTAAATTCGATATCAAACTCTAGATCATTTCGTAAGAAATTGAGTAAAATTAAGCGTAACTCAGATGTTAAAATTTGAATTGAATAAATTATGATGTCTATCACAAGTGTTTGCTTTCGTTATCGATTGATTACCATGAAAATTAATCATCTGATTATAAGCTCTTATAGGTTTTATTTCTCTATCTGTGTCTTCTCCTTACATTTAATAAAATTCCATTCGTATGATTTCCTATGGATGAATGTGGTCGTCGTGTTTTTGTAGATTTTTTATTATGAGATGAGGAAGTTTCAACATTTAATGCCATTCGTTTGTGCCGACCAATTGATTCCGGTAATAGACAATACCATTTATATTTCGATGGAGTCTAAAACAAAAACAATCAATTGTTTACATTGGATATATCTCATTTAATTCGTTTTTTCACACTATACAGCTTAATTAATCGATTTTCTTACCTTAGTACAATTAGTTGTTTTTAGAAAAGTCTTCATATTAAATGACATACATCCGATTAAGTCAATTCTAAAAAAAAAATGACG